CCCCGCCCCGCCCACGTTTCAGCCCCGACGAAAAACGCGCGGTTCGCGGCGAGAAAATCCCGACGTAACCCGCTGACATTTGCTCGCGGGCGGACGTGTGCATAATTTAAATACGCGAGCGTATTACTGCCAGCGCAGCCTCGAAGAATTAGACCGACATACGCCGCCGCCGCCGCCGCCGCTGCTGCTGGTTTGACCTTCGCCTCGAGGCGCGCCGCGGTGCTGTGGAGGCTCGGAGGTGGCTTGATACGCGCTGCGGCGGCTGACGTGCCGGCAGAATGGTGCATACGCACCTGCAAACTCTCTAATAATTGGATGCCAAAAATGTGGAAATGGAAGGAAGAATAGCCTGGCAGGGTGCGAAAAATGTAACTTAAACGCAACGTACCTATCAGATAAGCGAGCACTTTTCTTTAGTATTGATGTTTTATACTGGTTTAACTCTCAACCACCGTTGTCCTGTATGAGTTACACGAACACTGCAGAACGATCACTGTGATCGCTATGATTAAAATATTTTTTTAAGGAATTCTTGAAAGGATTTTTTAAGAAAACAACAACGATCGTTATTTCATACTAGGTCAACAATCACAACATAACCTAATTATTTCTAAGAAAATTACATTGCTCTTCACAGGAATGCATGTATATACTTTCCACACAACAGCTCGTTACGATCTAATAGCTACCAGCAGTGTCCCTGCCTTGCGGACATGAGTTAAGGGGTACGTGTGGTTAACACATAGTCATCCGTAGGATGTGTTTCTGGTCTTCCCTACTTGAGATGTGAGCTATCTCATCGATATACTTGTTATGACATCTTGATACTGGGTTATAGCAAGAAACGTTCACAGTTATTTTTTCTCTGACCGGAAATCGAACCTGGGGTTGCGCCGTGGAAAGCGAGCACGCTAACCAACGAGGAGTATAGGAATGTAATCACAGACAAAATAATTGTCCCGAAAGTTTACCTTATCAAGTGAGCTTACGAGATTAAAAGTTCAAATATTGTTACTTTAAGAGAACAAGAAACTAGAAATGTATAGTTAGAGTTAAATACAAGCTTTGAACAATAAGAACAAAATATAGAACCAAAATAAATTACTTAAATACACTAAAATTGCAAAGCATATATTCTGAAACCCCTTTCATGGTCACTTGTATTACAGTATTGGGAATTATTTTTTATCATTGGCATTACTACCCATTGTATCATGCATTGCAGAATAACCACATCAAAGTGCGGCTTTCATAAACACGTATTGACGTGCTTTATTCAAATTTAATTGTCAAAAACCATACCAACAGTCGTGGCAACACCGTGACGAAGTGAATTTTCATCCACTTAAATAAAAAAAACACGCAGCAGACTACGATCAAGTTGGATAAGTCTCAACAGACTTACAATAAAAGAGTGGTGTTCCAGAAAAAAATATTTCACACTTCAGCTTGATAGAGACGATTTCAAATTTTGTGTGGCCACAATCGCCGCCCCAAGGTGACAAACATTTATTTAACGTCTTTGAAGACACTTCTTGTAAAGATACAGTCACTAAAGCGAAAGCATGCAAAATTGTCTATGCAACACGACGCAGCGGTGCGGACAATACTCAGATTGTCCACACTTTACCACATAATCTATTGTTGAAATTATTGGTACTGGATTATTCGGAAATGATCACTATAAGATTGTAAGGATTTCACATCGTCTCAAGAGCGCATCTTTCAATAATTTAAAAATCTTCAAAGCGTGGACATAGCAAACATTTTGCGTGTATTTCTGGGTTAAGATGTACAATGCCTGGCAACAGCACCTGATATAGAAAAATGTCTGCCGCTTATTTTCTTAACTTTCTTTGTGAAAAGAGACGAATATTTTTTATTCTATTCTCAATTCTAAATATAATTTACAATGTATTGTACTGTAAATATAATTTGTATGTAAATATTACGTATACACGAGTTGTTTGCTTGCTGCTGTTAAATAATGTGTTTTTTATTATCATTATTTCAGTTGTAAGAGCTTTACCTAATTTTATGTTGTGATGAGTTGCTTAAGATCATTTGAAATTCACAATCTAAAGTAATGTGTACAAACATTTCAAAGGAGTTCACGAGTGTTATGTATCAATGAAGTTGCGTGCATCGACCGGGAGTGTTTGTATCCCGCGGTGCACGTAGCAACCCTCTGAGGAAGGATGTCGCGGGGACCTCGCCCACCTCTCACCCGCCGCCGCCTCCCGCCCGGCCTCTCGTCGAGCCCCGTTTAATCAGTTTAGTGCAAAGTTCCTCGCTCGCACGACACGTCAAACTATTTGTTCTCAAGTTGGCGCTAAATTTGTTATAGTGGATATTGATATACTTTGAATGGAACCTTGTCTGGAGGAAGTGGCAATTAACGCGGAATCGTGCGTGTCACATGAAGATTGAATGCGTCGTGTAACTTGCCTGCCTCCTCGCACTCGAGTCTAATGTCGATTTTACAGAGGACCCACCCACCCTTGTCCCCCTCCTACCGCTTTCCCGTTTCCGTCTTCTCCGCCCTCCCATCGCACTCACGCACCGTTCTCGCGTGGTTTCGCCTGTTGGGCGAGCCCGGTAGGAAAGTTAGCTTTTCCCTAGAAGGCGAATTACCCTCCTGTACACTTTTCGTGACTCCGAAAAGCCCCTTTTCGACAAAGCGAGCCCGAAAAAAAAGGCACCAATTATGTACAGTTGGCTCAGTAACTCATGCAACCTTTTGGGCAAACTCTGTTTATTTCTTGCTGCCTGGTGAAATTGTGAGTTTTGAAAACCCGAGTGTAGCTGTAACATTCAGGGATAACGTGCTCTCGCGACTCCCAGTTTTGCCAATGGAACTTGAGAGATGCTTGGAGCAACAAGGCCCAACCGGCGCTCAATCCGCGCCGCCGCGCCGGTTGGCAGTTGCATTTTAATGCGTCGCCCTTTGTTATCCGCGCTGGAATCCTTTACTGTGGAACACGAATCCATGTTTCTAAATGTGGAGAAATGAATTCTGCTAAATTAAATGTACCATGAGTATAAATTTAATATTCGTTTCTCTAAACCTCCTACGTTTTTAAGGATTTTATTTCAAAAATTACACTTTTTTTATTGCGCAATATTTTAATATTTTACGTGAGCGCGAAAGTTAAGGAACACGTATTCTTTCAATGTGCATTGAATTGAGATTGTTGTATTGTGTTGGGAGTGCACATCCACCTGTTTAAAAACAATCAGCAATCTGCATTAAATACATTTAATTATCGTCCCTTAGTATCACTCATCTGATGCTTTTTCGAAAGACTAAAACGTTTTTTTGCTAATGATTCCTCTCTGTACAGATAATTCAGTTTTGAGAGTTCTCTTTGTCTAGCTGCATTTTTTGCCCCTCCATTCTTCCGCGGTTTTCTGACTCCGCTTTCGTGTGCGTGAAAGACGCCCCCCTCCCACTCGCATCGCGCGAGGGACTTGTACCGCCCGTGAGGGGGAATCTGGGCAGGCGACCGTCCTCGGGCGAGGAGGTGTCCTGGGGTGATGCACGCAGCGCGCTTCCGCATACCGCGCCCCGCCCCGCCGCCCCGCCGGCCCGCCCGCCCTCCCGCCCGCCCGCCCTGCCCGCCCCCCCCGCTCGCCCCGCCTCGCCATCGCCCTCGCAAGCCGCCAGGTGCATGCCCGCCGTCGCCGCCCGAGACAACGGCCCGACTTCGGCGGAGGCGTCGACGCGGTTCATCTGAATACAGACGACACACGCTTCTCCCCGCCCCCTCCCTCTCCTCCACTTAGCCTTTGCGCCTCCGCCTCTGCCGCCTCTCACGCCACTGGTGCTCTCCACGTCGACGCTCGCCCCCCCCCCCTCGCCCCGCTGCTTAACCACCGCCTTCCACGGCACACATCATCCACGCTTTCCTCCACCCCGGTCCCTCCGACCCCGTCTTCTGCCGCTCTCATTACACTTCTGCTTCTTTGATCTCCACCTGATCGCCCTACCCCCATCACTCCCCACCGTCAAAGCCTTCTCCCGTCATGCTCCCTGCGTTTCCCCGTCTCGCTCGTTCCCAGCTCTCACCTGCTTCTTTCGCCCTCCCTCTCTTCCCGTCCTTCGCCCGCCGCGCTCCCACCTCCGCTTCTTTCGCTCCCACGTCCTTCCTCCTCCTCCGCAATCGGCCTCTTCGCCCCCGCCTTCTCCACTTCCGCCTCCTTCTCACCCACCCACACCACCCCTGAGCCTCCCCGCACTTAACCCCTCTCACTTAATCTCCTTTGACTCCGCCTGTTGACTCGCTT